TGGTATGGAGCAGTGCCCAGGTGGTTTGCTCATTCATTCAAGTAATACTAGATGTCAGGCATAGGGTAGACTGAACAAAAAGTTCCTTCCTTCAAGGATCTTCATTCTGGTTGATGGAGACGCTAAACAAGAACAATAAAATATGGGATCCCTGGGTGGCACAGCGGTTTAGTGCCTGCCTTTGGCCCAGGGCGTGATCCTGGAGACCCAGGATTGAATCCCACGTCTGGCTCCCGGTGCATGGAGCCAGCTTCTCCCTCTGCCTATGTCTCTGCCTCTCTCCCTCTCTCTCTCTGTGACTATCATAAATAAATAAAAATTAAATATATATATATATATAGGGTAGTGGGAAGTTCTAAGGAGAAAATGTAGGAGAGGGAGCTTCAGAACATCCAGGATTGGGGGAGGAAGATAGTTGACGTTTTGGATCAAGGATCCAGGGGAGGGCTCATTGAGAAGGAAATCTTGGATCAAAGTTCAGGAAGAGGTGGGGAAGTCAATGTGTGAAGCAGCGATTTAACAGATTCTCAGTCAAGACAATCCACAAAGCATGGATGATACTACAAAGACCTCTGCTCCCCTGCAGGATAAAGAGTGATTCAAGCAGAAATGGCTAAGTGTGCAAAGTTAAATTGCATGTTCTTTAGTCTCCGCAGGAGACACAATAATAACGGAGGCGCTACATCGATGGAGACAGGAAATGTCGGTTGCTAACAACTTTGTGGATCCCCACCTCCAGGAAAGTGGCCACTTGAAAGGCCAATCAATAAGGAGAGTTCAACTCAATATTTTATCTGATACAGTTTACTTTAAGGCAGAGAATCAAAGGGAAAGTGTCCAGATGAAGAACCTACAGGCAAATTCACCTTAAACCTCTAGCTCTGTCATTCCGCTATATTTCATCCAACAAAGACTCACTGTCTATTTTGTGTTGAATACTCTGCTAGGCATTGAGAAAGCAGCAGCGAACAGGGCGGCTGTTGGCCCTGACCTCATACGACTTGCGTGGTGGTAGGTAGAGCAGCATTCGGCTCCGAATCGCACAGTTATTTAATGATAAGGGAGCTGACGGGGCTCTGATAGAAGAGGACCGATCTCTGAGGATGCAGGCAAGTCCTTCTGGAGAAGAGAGCTGTTGGTTACACCTGAAGGAGGAGAAGGCACTAGCGAGCCGAGGGAGGAGAGGGAGACCTCAGGGCTTGAAAGGCCAGAGTGACAGGAGCTGGACATACTAAGGAAGTGTGAGGAGATGAGGCTGGAGGGGTTAGTGGGGGCCAGATAGTGCTAGGTCTTGAAGGCCAAGATTAGGGCTTGGTTTTAAATTCCAAGAGCAGGGAGAAGCCACTGGAGTATAAGCTGGGGCTGGAGGCAGGCAGGGGGCTCAGATGTTGCCTTGGAGAGAGGCTTTGAATTCGGGCGGCAATGCTGGAGATGAGTGGAGTGGTATCTGAAAGGTGATGGATTGCAAGTAGGAGGATGGAGAGCGTGGGCGCAAGAATGATCTCCGCGGCTTCCACTTTGGGCCACCAGATGCCGGTGCAATTTCCTGAGATGGAGGAGACTGGAGGATGATGTACTGTTTACAGGAGGACGATGAGGCTCAGACGTGTAGAGTCTGGGGTTCCCTATGAGCTGTCCAAATGGAGATGTCAAAAGGGGTGAGGTCTAAAGTGAGTCATTTGAAAAGTCCCCCGGAGCCATGAGAGTGGATAAGCTAGTTCGGGGAGAATGTGCACAGAGAGAAAAGCCCCAGGGCTCTGGGCAGCCTGCTGCAAAGGGGGCAGCTTAAGGGCTGGGGTCACCTCGGGAGAGCGTTACACTGACGCTCTGGCGAGCACCTCTGAACCAGATCATCCGGCAAAGAACAGGGATAGCTCACGTTCGGAGCACTCAGTGCGTGTCAAACAGGAGCTCAGCACATGCCAAGCAGTGTCTCACGCAGTGCTGAAAACCCTGCGAGCCAGGTGCCGTTATGATCTCCATTCTCCAGGTGAGCAGAGAGAGGCACCCAGAAATCCAGGAGCACGATCGAGGCCTCGCATGGGTGGCCCAGGTCAGGTGACCACCTAGCTGCAGGTCTAAGGCCCTTAGCCATACACCGCAGCTTCTCCCCCGGTTGCTGGCATCTGCAACTACCTTCCCTTATTTCCACCCTACGGCCCCCACAGCCCCCGCCAGGACCATGCGCTCGGCCCTCTTGCCTGCTCCCAGTGGCTGGTTATGGCAGAGCAGCCCCAAAGCCTGTGTCACGGGTCCTGTTCTTAGGTTTAGCCTGCCCTGTCCAGCTCTCCAGAGGTGGTTCCAAGGTTTCATGGGATTGTTGGAAGAGCAAAGGGCAGAAGGATGTGTGTGGACCTACCTCCCCGACATCCATCTACGTGTCCATTGCCACATTGTAGTCCACTTACCCGGCCCATCAGTAGATGGTAGACGTGAACTCAGCCCCACCCATCCTTTCCCAGGGAGAATCTGGGGCTAAGTCCCCTCTGAGAAAGGCCCGTTACTCCTCAACGAGTCCAACACTAGCATAGAGAAGGGAATGCAAGTATTCGGGGTTACAGTGCTGCCAAAAGCAGAGAGCCCCAGTCTAGTTCTGCTCAGGGACCCGGCCTGGTTCCTAGATTTCATCTCTGCATAGGCCTAAGAGTTTATTTCAAAAAGATCTGTGTATTTGAAGTGGCCAGGCCTTTGGCTTAGGTGGCTAAAGCCACCTCAAGCCTGCAGACACACAGGTGCCCTCCACGCTTTCTCCACCTTAGCACTTTTCAGTGTCTACCTCTTGAGGCCTAGGGCCAGTATTGTATCAAAGGATCCCAAGAGCCCCCCAGATCGCTCTGGCTTTAGTCGATTCTGGCTCGGGAACTTCAGGTGACCTCTAAGCCAGTCATAATTGCCCCTGCAGGGACCAGCTTTTGGTTTGTGGACACAGTAGACCAGTGAGCCCTAGCGACAGCACATTTCTGTTTTAGGGTCAGCTTCACCTTTCAGCACTGCTTCCCCTAAGGCTCAGAGAGGGTATGAGCTAACAACTGGGTGCTAGCTAGCTGGCCTGTTACATTTATTACCGCATTCCACGTTCAACCCCGTAGAGATGGGTGAAGGAGCACCCACTTCCCAGATGAGGAAACAGGCTGAAATAGATAAATAACATGCCTAGACTTCCAAAGCCAGTGAGCAGTGGCTCTGAGATTTAAGGCCGGTCAGACTCCAGAGCTTGTGCTCTACTTTGCATACTGCCCTCAGATCCACCCACTGAGAGATGTGGACAAGGAAGGAGTACTCTGCGTCCTTAGAGTCTCTTACTCCTCACAGCCCCCAGATCAAGGCCAAAACAGGGTCTCCCTTATCAGCAGCGTGCTGTGTCTTTACACCAGCCGGGGTCCTCATATTTCCTTACACATATTCCATTTAATCTCTTCTGCAGCTTAGCTGGGCTACCATTACTATAAGCTGGAAAGATTTGACTGCACTTCCAAAGATCCTATTAAAATGTTGTGCGAGGTCTTCGTAGAATTAGCACCATTAGCACAGAATTAACACTACTGGCATTAGCTTTCCGAGACCTGGTTGATCAAGCCCAGGGTGGGACCTTACCTCCCGTTCATCTGTCTTGCTTCCTGGCATAGGAGCCAGGAGGGGCTGTTGGGCGCTCACTGGCAGAGGCCAAACAGTGGTGGGGAGCCCTGGCCTCGGATACCAGCCAGCCCTAGCACATCTTTCCCCCCAGCTCAGCTTGGGTCCTTAGGCATCCCTTACAACAGATTTGCAGGACTGTGTGCCTGTCTGCATTTTGCCTGATGCAACATCCTAGCATTCTTCGGATTCTCAAAACCTGACTGACCCCACCAATGGTTCTGCACTACTGAATGAGATAATCTGGCAAATCTTTTTTTTAGTCAAACATTCTCTAAGCTCTAGTGCCCTACTGAGTCACGGAGCTCCTGAAACTATTTTAAATCCCCCACAAAGTAGACTCCTAGAATGAGGTTAACTTTGAAAATGGTCAAGGTTATCACAAATCTATTTATTCCCTCTCAGGTTCTCTATCATCGTCCCCTTGTAGCTGACTTTATTCACTCACTGCTTCCCCCAGTGCTCTCCAGAGCTGGCCTCTGCCTACTTTGGGAAGAAGTGCTGAGCAGCTGATCCCATCGCTGGACCCTCAGGCCCTTCCATCACCGGAGGGCTCTGCTGGAGACTGGGCTCTTGGTTCAGGCCCTAGAGTCTCTGAGAGCAAAGGACAAAACCAGCTGGAAGAACTGCGGGGTAGGAAGGTCTCCGTGGAGCCTTTCCAGGTTGTTGTTTTTTTTTTTTAAGCTGATGAAGGAGCAGATCCTTTTGAGACTGGCTCTGAAAACGCTTCCTAGAACAACCAAGTGAGGCCGGGGAAAAGCTGGAGAGGAGGAAGGATCATTAAAACTGACCCGGGTCATGGCGAAGTAGGAGGCAGATCGCACTAGAGTGTCACCTGCTCGCCCCGCCCTCAGCCCCCTTGCAAAGTGCCACAACCAATGACCAGAGCGTTCTCGGCACTGGGTCTAACTCAGTGAGGTTTTATTGTAGAAACGCTGTCTCTGGAGATGCAGGGCGCGGGCGGACCCAGGCCGCCGGGTGCTGCCGGTGCGGCCCTGCGCCCCTAGACCCGCTGCCCCCCCGCCCCTGCCCGCCGAGGGCCCCGAGCTCTTGGACCCCGGCGGGACCGACCGAAACGCGGCATCCCCTCGCCCCCCACCCCCCGGGGGACGCAGCCGCCCAAGCGCCTCATTTGCAAGTCCGGCTGAGTCCGCGCTGGGGCTCCTGCGGGGTGCGCGGCTGTGCTCGGCGCCGGAGCGAGCGGGGGGCGGCAGCGGCGGCGGGAAGAGCGCGCGGGGCCGGCGCGTCCTTGCGCGGAGCGGGGCGGTCGGCGGCGGCGGCGGCGGCGGCGGCGGGGAGGGCTCCCGCGTCCCGGCCCCGGCCCCGGCCCCCGTCCCGGAGGGCCCCGCGCCCCGCCCGCCCGCCGTCCGCGGTTAGTCCGGGTCGCGGGCTCCCGGGGGCGCCGCGGCAGGTCGGACCCCGGGACACCGCGCCTGCCGCCGGGCTCTCCGCGCCGCTACCCGGGCCGCGACCTCCAGGGCGCGCGGGCGTCGCGCAGCGATCGGTCGTGGGGCAGCGCGGCGAAGGCCGAGTGGCGCAGCTGGCAGCCGATGAAGAGCACGACGAGCGCCACGGACAGCAGCAGCAGGAAGAAGAGCAGCAGGTAGGTGGGCAGGTCGGGCTTCGCGGCCGCGCCGTCCCGCACGCCGCGCGCCGTGGCCAGCTCCAGCGGCAGCGCGCCCTCCGCCTTGACCGTGGCCGCCAGCGCCGGCGCCGGCGCGCCGCCCCCCGCCGCCTCGGGGCCGGCCGTGGCGTTGAACACGTCGCCGTACATGGCCCGCGGGGCCCCGGCCGGGCCGGGCCGGGCCGCCTCACTCGCCGCCGGGCGCCCGCATGGCCCTCTCCGGGGCCCTCCCAGGGCCTCCCGGGCCGGCGGCTCGCGGGGTCGGAGCCGGGCTGCGGTGAGCCCCGGCGAGCTCCGGGCTGCAGCGCGGCCAGACGTGGCCGCAGTTCGGGGCGCGGGCGCGGGCGGGCGCGGGCGGGCGCGGGGCGGGCGGGGCGGGGGCGGGGGCGGGGGCGGGGGCCGTCCGGCGCCCCCGCGTCTCCGGGCGGCGGTCCCGCGGCGGCGAGCCCCGTTCGGACCGGACGGCGCGCGGCGAGCCTGTCGGCGCCCCTCGGGCTGTGCGCTCCCGCCGGCAGCGGCGACTGCGCTCCGAGGCTCCGGCGCGCTCAGGTCCCGGGCGCGGGGCGGGGCGCGGGCCTGACGGCGCTGCCCCCGGAGGCTGCCGACCAATGGGGCGGCGGGGGACGCGCTGCGACGGCCCGGCCCGGCCCGGCCTCGCATCGCCTGAGGCCGGAGGGACCCGCGCGGAGACGGAGGGAGGTAAAACAGGGTCACAGAGGCACTGACGGACCCAGAAATGCTCAGAGTCCTATGAACAGAGACGCCGTGCACGGCAGACGGGCTCCGAGGCACCTGCTTCCATTCTTCCCCCGATATACTCCCTCCCGGCGTGACCGGCCTCCAGGGGCACCTGGGGCAGGGGCAGAGGCCCCCCTGCACGCCGGGACGGGTTGGGCGGGCCCAGGCCCCTGTCTAGCTGGGCCCTGAGGGCGCAGGTGCTGCCCAGCTCCCCTGGCCCGGTCTCCTCCGGGGCAGGGGGAACAAGGAGTGGGGTGCGGGTGGTGATACCTCAGCTGACCTCAGCTGACCTCGCCAGGCCTGGCCACGGGGAGGCGGCCAGAGCAGAGGCGAGCGGTCCGTGAGACTGAGGGGCTCTCCTGGTCCAAACTCCTCCCCTCCTTTGAGAAACTGGGAACTGTTGCCCTAGCGGCACCGCTCCGGAAGGACTGACTGCCCCAGCGGGTCACCGGGTGACCCTGCCCGAGGTGGGTGGGGGGGGGACCTGCGAGAGGCCCAGGACTGGAGACTATGGAGGCGCCGACTGGCCTTCGCCGTCCTGCAAGTGCAGAGTCAGGGCTGAGGGCGCCTCCTTCCTCTGTACTCGGCATACGGCGGCCCTCACCTTAGCCTCCGCTGTTCCCTCCTCACTTGTCAGATACCTGCAGGGTGAGGCAAGTTCTAGCTGCGTCCCTCCTCCCATCCCGTCCCGGGTGCAGTGTGTGGGGAGAGCTTGGTGAGCACTGGCTGAGTGAACCGGGGAAGATAAGTTAGTCATCCCTCTTGCCCTCCGCATGCCTCACAGCCTGGCCTCCAGCACAACACGCGCGGCCTCAGGATGTGCAAGGCCCGCCCTGGCCAGAGCTCATTCCCACAGATCCCACCCCAGCCGGGGAGAAACACCTTTGCAACCTCTCTAACATTGAAGTCGTGGTCCAAGGCCTGACTCTCCAGAATGTTTTTCTCCTTGTTGAGGGAGGCCTCCGCTCTGCGGGCTGTCGGCAGGGCTTTCCTCTCAGGCACACAGATGGGCTGAGGGGGGCCTCCCCCGGGGGAGATGGATGTGTGTGGATGGAGTGGAGGGCAGGGCCTGGCAGGATGCTGAGCACCACCTCATCTCCCCACCTTGGTTCTGGGGAGCTGCCCAGCATGCTCCTAGGGCCTGTAGGATGCTGAGCCTCGATGCCTGGCCAAACCCTCGTTTTCCAGGTGGGAAAGCTGGCTCTGAGAGCAGCAAGGCTTGTCCATATGCACACGGACAGCCGCCACCAAAGAGCTATGGAGAAGCCAGGGAAGTGGGCCACTCAAATGAGGGGAGGTAGTCCCTTCCCCGGAAGGCCTGACCTATTTTGGACAGCATTGTTCTCAGCCAGCAGGATCCCAGGGGAATTATGTGCTCTCACCACAGGCTTCCTGGCTTTCAGAGGGGAAGGGGCAGCACGCAGGCTGGATGGAAGAGATTTGAGCCAGGTGAAGCCCCTGCCCTAGCAATTCCCAGGGTCTTGGTGAGGCTTGAATGGTAGGGCTTGAGTAGATGGGTTCGGGATTTTGCCTCGACTTTCCTCTTTGCCTCTGTGTGTGGGGGAACGTGGCCCTGCTCTCTCTACTCCGTCTCTGCCCTAAGCCACGAGATTAGGTAAGACACTAGGTGGTGGCAGGAAGCAGAAGCAGCTCAGTTGGGAGGCCCTAAGTGGGGGAGTCTGGGCTTTGGGCTATAAAATGAGGGATTGTGGTAAGAGATTTCTGGTCTTGCTAGGAAGCATGCAGTAAGCATCCAGGAAGTAGGTGTGGAGCAGGGGGGTCTGCAAAGGGACCTGCAGCCCTTGCTCTTGAATAGGGGAAGGGAGGTCTCAGGACCTGGGGTCCCTGGTGCTCTCATTCTGTCCCTGCGGCTCCTGCTCTTCACCATCAGGTCGCATTCTGCAGGAGTGATGCATGCGAGGGCTTGCAGCCTGTGAGTGGTGACTGGCGGAGCTGAGGCTGGAACCCAGGCAGCCGGGCTCCAGAGGCCAGGCGCTTTACTGCTACCATGACCTCTTCCAAGGGCAGAGCAGTGCTGGTGGCTGCTGCTCAGGGACCTCTTCTCTCAGGCTGGGCTCCAGCCTGCGCTTAGGCGTGATCTTTCTGCTCATGGGGACCTGGGAGGGAGGCACTGCTGTGTCCTCCCTTCCCCAAGGAGGAAGGCAGCCTCCAGAAGTGGTGCCCTCGCCAAGGCCAAGGCTGCCCAGCTGGGGTCAGGATGCGAGGCAGCTGGGATTCCGTAGCCTCTCCTCTTCCGCTCAGCCTCAAGCTGCTTCTTCTTTTTTTTTTTTTTTTAAATTTTTATTTATTTATGATAGTCACAGAGAGAGAGAGAGAGAGAAGCAGAGACACAGGCAGAGGGAGAAGCAGGCTCCATGCACCGGGAGCCCGACGTGGGACTCGATCCCGGGTCTCCAGGTCACGCCCTGGGCCAAAGGCAGGCGCTAAACCGCTGCGCCACCCAGGGATCCCTCAAGCTGCTTCTTCTAATGAGAAACTCAACAAAGAGCATGTGGTCAAACTGCCTGGCATTTTGGTAAAGTTGGAGAAGGTATCTTGCCCTTTTTTGGGGGTTTTTTGGTCTCCAAGCGGGGAGGGCACTGTTTCTTTTCTGAAAGATGTTTGGAGCCTGGGAGGGCGGTCACGTTCCCCATTCCCTAAGCGTCTGGGCAGGAAGGTAAACAAGGCCGGTGCTGAGTGAGTGCAGAGATGAAGTTTACACAGCTTGTTACACAAGCCAGAGCGACCTTCCATTAAGGGAGCTTTGTGTACTCATACATTTAAGTCTTGGAAAAGATTATAAAGGGGCTCTGAGTTGGCGTTGACAGGCAGAGGTCACAGGGCCAGGCGTGACCTCTATCCCCATTATGTGGTTGCTGAGTGACACATGCTGCCCCTCCTCTGGCCTGTCTCTGGAGGGATGGGATGATGAGGCAAGGGTGCCTTTCCTGCCACGATGGGGCCATTTGGCAGCTGCTTAATGGAAACCGGGGAGACTAGGAGCATTAGAGCCCCAGGATTCCATAAACTGTGCCGCGGGGCCTGTGGGGCCCTGTGAAGCTATTTCTGTTTCTCCTGCATGCGAGGGGAATTATTATTACACAGCTCCGCGTCACCGAGAGGCTGGGGTGCAGGTCAAGGGAGAAATGTTGCTGCCCGGGGTTTGCCGCCACTGGAGTGGCTTTCTGTGCATGTCATGTGCTGTGATTGCCGTGGCGTGCTCCTCCGTGAATGCTGATGATGCCCTTGCTTGCAGACCTTTTCATTTTAACCGTGTTGCCCGGCAGTGCTTTAGAGGGTTTTTGGTTTTTATATTTTTATTTTTTTTTTACAGATGGCTTCGACAACCACAGTGGCTGGTGACTTAAGGTCATATTTTAGAATGACCATTTTAGAACTAAATAGAAAATAGGCCAAGCCAGGCTTAGAAATGCAGGGCCTTTCCAAGGGGGAAATAGGCAGTAGTGGGCTTGGGGAATGGTCAGGCTGGACTGGGCGAGAGGCTGCGATCTGGTGTTTTGCCTGCGTACCTGGGGAAAGGATGGGGTGTGAGCGTGAGACCAAGTGCAAGGAGAGTGCTCACGGACGCTCTTCTCCCAGAAAGGGTATCTCTGCCCTTGTCCTCTGACACCTGGGCCTGCGGCTTCTCTTGCTGGATCAGACGGTGCGATGTGATGGAGAGAGTCAGTGACACGATGCACAGGGCTGGCTGGGGCTGTGGCCTGAGATAGCTGGAAGCAGGTGCAAACTTGGTCTGCTGGTGGTGGGTGGCTCTGACTCTGGTGATGGGATGATGCTGGGTGTTACCAGTTTTTGGACAAAGTCTCCCTGGTTAGTACCTTGATTACCACATGTGACCTTTCCTGCCTCTCTAGGTCCCTTTAGCTGTGTGGTCTCTAGCTAAGTGGCCACAGAGACACAAAGCTTCTAAGGCTGCTGAGACTGATGGTGACCAGTTGCCATCCCTTGAGCTGAATCACCTAGACTTTTCTGGAAAGGACAGAAGTGGAGCATCTGGGTGGCTCAGTGGTTTAGCGTCTGCCTTTGGCTCAGGGAGTGATCCCGGGGTCCTGGGACCGAGTCCCGTGTTGGATTCCCTGCAAGGAGCCTGCTTCTGCCTCTGCCTATGTCTCTGCCCCTCTCTCTCTGTGTCTCTCATGAATAACTAAATAAAATCTTCAAGAAAAAAAGAAAGGACAGGGGTTTGCATGACAGTGATGCTGTACTGCCCCTGCTGCCTAGACCCAACCAGCGTGGGTGGTGTGGAGGGGTGAGTGAGGTCGCTGCATGTTAAGGAGCAGGTCACCATCCTGGCCAAGAACGGGAAGTAGGCCAAAGTTCGGATAGAGCTAGCATGTACCAAAAGGAGCAGGCGGGCTTGGAACAGGGCTAGTGTTTGGAATCGGTAGCCAGCCAGCTTCAGGGACACCTGGGAGTCTGGCTGAGTCCTCTGGTCCTGCCCCTGTTTTTCCAGGGAAGGGGTACCTA